ATCTCTAGGACATATGATTAACTTGAATTTATCTTATTATCATCTCGAATATTCCCTTTATTATTCTTCACATTGAGACTTACCAACTCTCTGCCTACTAATGTGATAACTACTGGTATCCAGAAACCCCGCTTCCCTGAAACAAACTCATGCACTCTAGTGACGAGTTATGCAAGAGGCCATTTTTAGTTTATTTCGGGTGTTCGTGCTATATGTTCTATCAATTTTGAATACATTACATTGTTTCGTGATTATAAACTTTTGTTTCGACTTGGTTAATAACGTATATTTCACTACAGTGACTAATAACATATGTAAGCAAGTGGACTGCCGTTTACCATCACATCTGGTATGCAGTGTGACTAATGTGAGCAGTGGCTTCACAAGGATTGCACAAACTCCACAGAAACTGCATACGACAGACCCAGTGATTTAGATTTTAAGTGAGTATGTGGCACATGCATTATGAAAGCTGACAATATTTTGAGCAATACTGCCAGTCTTCTGGCAGGTTTTCGGAAGAATTGGCAGAAACCCTCAACAAAGGCAGTCCAAAAATTACGCAACTCAGAGAGGTAAAGGAAAGGGTTTTCGGTAGCATCAGTATTGATGGATTAAATACAAGCACACCTTATGCTGGAACTTAACCCTACCATGTCATCGATGGCATTAGACTTTCTCAGCATAGCCTATCCAAGTGAAACTGTAGTCTCAAAAACTTCTACTGTGAGTAAATAAAATACCTTTAACCAAGTTAAAAGGAATTAAAAGTTACCATCGAAAATGCTCAAGAGCCTGATTGTCGTAGCAAAATCAAGTGATACACCTACCGTACAATCTACTCTTAAAATAGTCCAACCAGTCAGTAAAAGGCACAGGAAACTTAATTGCAATCAAACTGCCAAATAAAAGGAAATTTAACCTCGATGTACTCAAAAACATGTAAAACCTATCACGGACCATTACAATTCTTAAAAGCCGAGACGTCTTGATAGTACATCATGCGCACATTCAAGAGTCCATTAATCTGTATCGTTTTCAGTTATATCCTCTAGCACCTCAATATGTCATTTACAGAAAGCACACAGTTGACACCGAGTACGACAGCATTTGCTGAAGTGATTATCCCGCTCGATTCGCCTGGAATACGTTTACATATTCATGTTGGTGGACATCATTTTTCTTACCTGAACACGTACAATAGAGGTGATAAATCTTCTGTGGCTCTGTTCTTCAACCTCATTGAAGAATTAAGACTATTCGAAGATGCTAAGTTGGCAACTCGGTTGATAAAATATCAAATGCCGTCACATCTAGGTTGCATCCACGCAAGCAAAGAATTCCTGACTGACAACTCAATCTTGTCTACCCTGTAAAAGACTATTACGTCATTATAGCCTTCAATATCACTGACATGAAAAATCTCAATAACAATGAGAATTGGGATTGCGAACAATTGGTTAGAAGATCTTTAGTGATGCAAATAAATCTCCCTCGAGAATTTTCCCCACAGTTACAAGAAATATACAATTGTAAGGATTATCACTCTTCGAATATTCAGACCTTAAAATTACAGCTAGTCAGAATACAAGTGAACGGGTAGCGACAGTACATACAAGCAGATTAGGCCAGCTAGGAACCGCTGAACAAAGGTGTTGAGAAATGGCAGGCTTCAGTATCATATCAAGCTAATTGATGGATTTTTCCCCAATATTAAAGGTCTGTTCTATCATACAACCAAACTTTGACAAGCCAAAACCAACTATTTCCTGTACTTAGATCTTAATGACCCAATCAACGACTATGGAGATGCCACCGATTCCCGGTCAAAACACTATATTCAAACATTTCAACCGTATTGTACAATTTAACTCAACAATAGTTTTACATGCAACTAGATAGGATTCTCAGAAGTAAATCTAAACGATAGAATGGTGTCACAAACTACAGAATATAAGTAAGGACACCTGTGGCCCAATATGGTCCATTCTGCTGAGAAGAGCACGTTCAGTCTTGGCAACATTTATAGAATTAACATTCTCACGTCATCTGAGTGATGACGCACTTAAAAACTGAAACGAAACGCACCAACTTTGAAAGGAGGCCCACGCAATGAACCTTCAAGCTACTGAGCAGCAGCAACTCTTTCAAGTCCATAAGACGCATTGGAGTCCTTTGCATACGTCGGTCTATGAGACTACATGTACTCTATTAGACTGTCATCCCAACAACACACCTTCAGGAAGAGTCACTCCTCTATAGCCAATCTGCTGACTGGAGTGGACAGATGGGCAACCAATCTTGATCGTGAGTAGAAGGTAGATTTGATATCCTTTGACTTACAAAAAAGCGAGCTAATTGTTGTGTAACAAGTCACATTAATAGACTGGTTAACGACACATTTAAATAATAGATTTTTAGGGTTATGGTTAATTTTACTTTTTCTCAGGCCATAGAATGTTTTGGTGGGTTTCCCGGGGTTCACCTTTTCTCTTTTATTAATTTTTATAATTGATGTTTATCGGTAAGTATTGTCTGAGTTATTACTTTTCACTGATGATGTTGAAAATTGGAGAGAAGTTTGTGTTATATCTTGTTAATGTTTTCCGATATCTCCATTGCCAATTGTTATAACTTGTCGTTTGAATGTTACTTGTTATATCTGGTCGTCACTGATTGTTGTGTCGGAAACGCTTATCACTTATACTCAAAACGAGAGACCTCCACAGTTCCCACGACGTGAAAGTAAGAACACAAAGACTGGTATAAGTGAAGATTTATTAACCCCAAAACACGACGACGACCTAGTCGAAAGCACACTCATATATACATTGATTGTACACACACTGATTAATAATTAGAATGAAATCACATGTATAAAAATACCTTGTTATCACAAATCACATATAGAGCTTAGTTCATGTCAATTAAATACAAGAATATCGTATATTATACAGAATAAAATATCATACGAGAAAAGAAAGCAAATATTACACTGAATGATAATTGCATTGAATCAGAACGGAAGTAATGTTGAACAAAACCCATAATTATTAAATCAATCGAATTTTGACTTTTATTTGCATCTTATCAGTTCGCAGTCACGGCGATCTGATTCTGCTATGAAGTTGGTGAATAACAATCGATCCAACATTTCAAGGTGCAAAGTAGTGCATTCGAAGCACACATTATGAGACGTAAATATGCATACAACTCCTTTCTTGAAGTGCCCAAAGTTGAAAAGACCTAGGAGTCTTGGTCCTCCATGATCTAAAGTGTTACACCAACTTGACCAAAATGGAAGCATAATGTCTCCTCAATCACTCTGAAAGGATAAGAGTACATTGCAATATCTCCAAAGGCGAGCCACGAAATCATGACTTAAATCCAAGTGGTATGGAAAGCGCATCAAATCAGTGGATTTTTACCAACTAGGGTATAGACATCCGAGAGGTAACTTTCCAATGACACATGGCATGCTAAATACTCTTGAGCATCCCGTTAAATACTTACTTAGGCCCAGTCCCAACATAAATCCCAGGGGCAATACTCAAAAAATTAGAGGCATTACATAACACAGTAGATTGTATGTGCACTTTCTACTCCTGGGACTCGCTACCGTCTGTGATGATCCAAACACTCCCCTGAAGTCCTCTAAGAAGGAGCCTGACATATTTTTACGGACTCAGGATAGTATTTCCTTGTAGTCAATGAATATTTCTCTTTAAATGGGCTCTGAAAATACCATCATTCTACTGTTTAATCCGGTAGCTTGCCATAGAGTTTTAACAGACCTTTCGACTGTTAAATTAAATCAGAACAACTACTTATTTCTAAAGATTTTAACAAATACCACTATAACACTTAAAATCAACAGTAACACTGAGAAATGACTTTTAACCCGTAACGTTAAATGTACTTAGGTTCCTACCTGGAAAAATAGGTGATTTGTTGCTGAAGCCCATCAAATAGAAGCTTCTATTCCATCCACAACCATATTATCATTTGAACTATACAAACCCACAAGTAACTTCCAAACCGACCAGAATTAGTGCAGTCGAGTGACTAGATTAACTCTTGTGCGACATTGCCGAAGACCTGGAGCCTTACTGAAACAACAACAAGAAGCGATTGCGAAGAAATCAATCGGTTTACATGAGTTCCTCACCATGATATTGGATATAGGATATTGGGAGAGGTGGAATGGGAGTATATTAAATATTATCATGTTAACACGATGCGCTAACATAGTGGATTTTTATTTTCGTTTAGTAGTTAAGCAAGGTATTTTATAAAACTGTTTTTAATGCAGTGTGCATGGTGGTCCAAAAATTTGTATTATTTGCTAGCTTCTGATGTCACACGTTCTGCCTTACACCACATTCCTGAAGTTATGAAATAATGTGTTGACCCAGTTAAGGACAGACTGAAGAAGTTTGCCACAGCGGGTTTGCAACTAGCTTTGGTGTTTGTAAAGTCATTTAAAAAGTCCGTAAGTTAAACATTGTCTAGTTAATACTATGGTACATGCATATCAAACCAATTATCTGTTAATGTAGGCAATCTCCAGTCAAATATGTTTGGTTCAGTCATAGCCTGAATTAATGAATAAATGACAGAATTAGACACGCGGTATTAAAACTATAATGATACTTAATTATTATACGTTTATTTTTCTTAAGTTTCTACGACAACGCATTCTAACGGTCGTTTTTACATTCTATATTGAGTTCATACTAACACTCTGTTTGAATTAAAGCTCTCTCAGCTACCAAACTATGCACTTGTGCAGCTGAAAAAAAGATAACTAACAGGGGATTAGTATGGAAATCTTGGAGGTAGTAACCAAGATGTTCGTAATAAGTTGTAGATTTCTCACCATGCGTCCCTTCACATGTTTCTGTCTTCTTTTATGTTCGTCAATATGTCATACCTGGAGACACTATTGTAGTACTTACGAAACAAGCAAACAAACTGTAAAGTATTAAAACATTATTTTTGAAGATGCGGGCATTTCAACATCAGGGTCAGTCACATGCAGTAAGTTTGCATCAAGTTAGATACACGGGGTTCAGCAAATGGCTCGAAGTTGCGCCAAAGCATGTAATGACATAGAATAGTAATGTATTTACTAATTAATAGGAGGTATATTCGTATTTTAGCTCTTTTATGGTAAGTGAACGAAAAGAATAAACTATTGTCAAAGTTCTAAAGCATTCTTAAACAAAGTAATTTCCTTATATAAATGTGTGTTACTAGAATTCCGAACTGCAACGGAGTCTGTTCTTAGGCACCTTTAGTAATTATTGGACATGACCAATATACTATGGCCTCAACTTGTGTTTTACCAGATTTACCCAATCAACCAAGCTATAGCTTTCAAGTTATTCAAATCCCATCTTTCTAGCTTATTTATCTTTCCACTTACACCCATTTCAGTTATGCGCGACTAATGCTATAGGTTTTTATTTGTAATTTAGCCTCTGCATTAAAAACTTGAGCGAGTGTTAAACTTAGTCATGTGAGTGGAGTTTTGTCTTAGTGTTCAGAACACTCGATTTTTAACACCGTATCATAAATCCGACCATCATTCTATCTCGTCACGGAAAACTGCTGTGAGTTTATCCGTCACATAAGAGATACGACTAAAAACCTGTAGGCACAACTAGTCGAATTAATTGAATGAAATCTTAATAGCTTACTACAAAACGACTGAACTACACTCGAAATAATCCTAAAGTCATTTTCTTATACTTTTGGTAATGTTTCATCCTTATGAAACCTCAGGTTGTATACAATGAATTTTTTCTTTAACAAGGGAAAACATATCTGTCCTTTTTACCTAAAGAATCGATGCATATATGGCGATCGATGCATTAATTCACATTGTTTACCGGAAAACAAATCGTCCCAGACTTCAAAGTGAGTACCTTTATGTTTTAAAACATTTGTTTGCTCACGATTCTTATTCAAGATCTGAATCTGCCACTTCTTTAAGAGGAAAATCGTGTTAACTCGTATGAACTAAGATTTCTTTCTACATCTTTGCCTGTTGTATTTGTCTCTACGCAATAGAATTTTTATCTACCGACTAACTGTAGCATATCAGGTCGTTGAAGTCACTGTAATTCTAGATAATATTAAAAATCCTAGGTACTGTTGGTTTGCATATACCTATTAAGTCAACTCACTCAAATATTAGTTTATTTATTTATTTGAACACATAAATATTGGTGCAAGAGGGCATCAAATATATATGCGCCACACAAAACAATGAGAGTTTGAAGAGAAAGAAAAAATATATAAGGAGCGTAAAAACAATAAAAACGAACAGATTAGTGTAAGGTAGTGAATTAATAATAATAATTTATTTATTTATTTATTTACTTATTTGTTTATTTGAACACAAATATTGGTACAAGGGGGCACCAAGTATATATGCTCCACACAAAACAATGAGAATTTAAAGAGAAGGAAAGAAATGTAAGGAACGTAGGGAATTATAAAAAGAAAAAAACGAAAAAATGAGGGAAACGAAAAGGTACAACCAGAAGAAATCTTTTGGTTAAGGTAAAAGCAACCACTTTTCAGGAAGAAAGTAAAAGGTTATAGCAGGATCGCCACTGGCTTCTATTCTGAGCCATATCTAATAACGTCTCTAGCCACTGTGTTACATCATCTCTCGGACTCCAGCCAGAGAGTCGCGAAGGACTAACAGAAGCCAGTCCTTTGTAGCTTTCTTTCACACCACAACATCATGTCATATACTGACCACCTCTCCGCTTTTTCCAACCAGTCCCATCGTTGGAAAATAATGCACGACGTGGAGTTTATATATGTGTAATTCTACCCCTGCTTTCACTATTATGTGGCTCTTCACAAAGATTGTAATGTACTTTGCTTAGCTTTTTGTCAAGTCATCTAAGTGTATTGTAGTCACTTGTAGATATTTTGTAATAATCTTTAACTCCGCCTGGAGTCTTTTTCCGGGGGCTACTGCCGGTCCCAAGCCCGGATAAAGGAGGAGGGTTGGGCATGGGGTTAGCGACCCCATCTCGTAGAAAACTAGCTCGCTAAAAAAACGCTAACCAGATTATATCTTTACTGGTTTAGGTGTTTTGTCTGTGAAGAAATCGTCTACCATAGATAATCAAGGACATATCAACAACGTAGTACTTAAAACAAATGTGGTGGACTATAATTTGTGGAAGTCTTTTGGGGGACCCTTACGTGACCTTGAGACTCCACTTACTTGATAGGGCTGAGTGATAGTTGTAAATTAGTGTTAGGCATTCATACTAAGGTTTGTAGTTGGGAATTACAGTTGTGCTTTTCACAACGAACTGATATCAGCTATAATCTTAAAGCGCTATTTAGAGTTGGGGATAAACCCCACGCTGTCAAGTCATCTAAGTATATTGTAGTCACTTGTAGATATTTTGTAATAATCTTTATCATAGAGTTAATCGGAGGCATATCGTTTGCTGTGTTGTAATTTTTCTCCCATCATGACTGACTGACTGACCTACACTCGGTACGCCCAAGGTACAATGGAGTGGTATTTTCGTCGTAGAAAACTATTTCATTTAAGCTAGCGAAAGCGACAAATAACCAAACACACGCTCCGTCATGGATTACAATAGTGTATATAATAGTTCCCACTTCATTTTGGCTGGCCGCCTGGTACAAGGATGAAATTGCGAACGAGAGTGGAGTTTATCCCCACCCCTATTTAGCTGTTTGGATGAACGAATTTCGCGCCAAAATCCGAAACCTACTGTCCTAAATCTGATTGGTTCGTCCATAAATTAATCTCGCCTGTAAAAATACGTACACTAACAGAAGCGGAGTTTTATAGAAGCAACGAAGAAATGTAGCGTAAAACTAGGAAGAATCAACACTGACAGATTTTGAGCCATATTGCTCTAAATCAGTCACCATGTATTTCAGTCATTTTGCAGATTTAAATGAGGTTTTTGATTTCTATATACCCAAAATTAAATCAAAAGTCTCATAAGCGTATTTAATAACGTGTTTGATTGCTCATTTAAACCTTGGGAATAAGATTCGTTTCAAGGACCTTAGGTTACACTATCATAATAAAACCAGTAGATATACTTAGGGTCTCAGTCTATAACATATCACCATACTTCAGCTCAGGAGACCTAAAGCGTGTTTGCCAGGCCCGTAAAGCTCAAGTCACTTGAAATTTTCATACTCCGTATCCTGTTTCTCATTCTTACAAGTTGCAATTAAAATTTTATATATATAACGAATGGAAATGTAAGTTCTTTAATTCGTAAATCTCCACCGTTGCACGTGGTGCTTTGTTGTTTTATGTGCGCTCATGAATTTTGGCCCATTTAGTAGATGTTTAATGCAGATGAATTCTGTTAAGTGATATTTTGTACGGTTTATCGACAATCCATGATATAATATAGTGTGCTGGGCAAATAATATACATTTCATTGCTTTAAACATTTAGGTTCTTGTTGTAGTGCTTTAATTAAACACAAAACCCTCTTTTTAACTTTAGATCTATTCCTTGTAAATTTTATCTACAAGGCTATTGTCACAATGGGATCAAATGTACATTTTCACACAATATAAATGGTAATTGTGCTAACAGATAAATTTGGTTTATATTTCATTTGTTATAATATTTTCAATTCTAGTGAGCTTTTAAACTGATCCATACCTAATCAAACTTTGTATTTCTTTTAGCTGATGGTTAATCATTGAATGGTATGAAAGCATCAAATAATAAGACTGAATATCGTCAGGTGAAATACTGAGATAGTAAAGACAACTTTTTTCAGTATGTGGTTATGAAAATTGTGGAATTTTATTGATATCACGAACTAATCTTAACGAAGTTAGATTTGTGCACTAATAGATTCCTGTTCAGTGGTCTGGAGAAGCCAAGTGTTCGCGCAAAACTAATAGTTCTGAGTTCGGTCGCCGCTGGTACGGTCGTGGATGTCTGCTACATAGGAGTCCCATACTGGGACGAAACGGTCATTCAGTGCTTCCAGGTTTCCAATGGTTGTCTAACTTAGATCGGTTCGTAAGCTTTCATTATTGAATCGTGTTCGGGTTAAACTCATAACGTTCTGTCCATCTGTTGGTTTAGATTTCGTTAGCTAGCGTTTCCTAAAACTAAGGGGTTCGTAATATAGTGCAATCACCTAGTCTGTGATGTTAAAATGTTTCATCAGCATTTCTTCACTCTCAAATGCCGTTTAAGAAATGCCACGTGACCTACAGTGTTAGTCATCGAAGTATGGCTTAATGTGCAGCTAACAGCTCTTCATTACATAATGATTGTAAAATAATAGCTCCACAGTGGATGTCAACAAGATGGCCCTAATGTATGACTGCATATCTATTGACCGAGACGCAGATGAGTCCACCCTTGAATCTTTAATTTAGTATTATTTCCTGTTTCAGCATTTAAACAGCCATCTGTAAGATGAAGACAAATTTAGTTTAGCTTCCTCGTAATTGTTGTTTCATCGATTGGTGACTAATTATAGCTCTGAAACTTTGAGTATTCTTTTAAGTGATTTTAATTGAAACAACATTGAACTTTTCATTTATTCAGCCAATTCATCTCATACCTATCGCAGAGATTTGAAGGGAGCCATTGACTCAAAATATCCAAACAGTCAGTCAAATAATCTCACTAATAATAAACCAATATCACCTGCTTTAACAGGTTTTTCATTCCGTCAGACTGAAAAAATGATCAAAATGCAGTCATCTCGATATCGTGAATGGGGATATGAAGCTTCGGAAATTTATAGCTCCTACGACCAACTGAGTGAAAAAGAGCTATCTATATATCGTTCAGCTGGAAATTTTGTTCCTGGGACAATTCCTTTATCTTCACCGTCAGAAAATTTATGTACATTTTCTTAAAAGTGAACTGTTTCATTCTCGTATCATGTGTCTAAAATAATTCTATACCAATTCATCTACTTCTTGATTCTAAACTATAGTCCAAGATTTTCGTGTCTCAGTGTTTCCACATATTCTACACATCCATAATGTATCTTCGAAATCCGATCTGAATAAGGATAAGCTACAATTTGATAACAAATGATCAAATATGGCCTATTCAAACAAGTGTAGACTATCTGATTGGAGTCTGCATGATTGTCGCAGCCAGTGGTTAGAGACTTTAAATGAGATGACTCAAAATCGTTTGTAATGGCTCAGGTTCATACATTTTTTGTTTTCCTCTATATTCAGAGCTTTTTGTGTTTTCATTTCCCTAACTTATATTTTCTTGAATCGTATCTTCGATACCTAATCTTTTCTATTACCATTAATACTTCAGCTATCTCTACTGTTGTCCTGACAATTTCATTTCTCTGTCCTAATGGAGTATGGTATCTTGAACTGATGTGCATACATACCAGGTTCTACGTTGGGACTCACTGACTAATTAAGGCAAATCAAAATGAACACAAAATTTAGCATAAATTCGTGCTGGTCACTATTGCTAACTTTGAGTCCTAACAATATGCAAGCTATTGTATTAATGCCTGTATCGACAGTGTCAGAGAAAATACTTTCTAGCGTCCTTTCACATGGTTCATAATTACTTACTGCTGTTACCCCTCGTGGAGGAGCATAGGCCGCCCACCAGAATCCTCCATCCAACCTTGTCCTCGACAATCCTTCCCAGTTGCTATTCTTCCTTTTGATGTCTGCTTCCAATTTCCGACGTAGTGTGTTCTTCGGCCATTTTCTTTTCCGTTCTCCTCCAGGATTGCAAGTTAGGGCTTGTCTCGTGATGCAGTTCGGTGATTTCCGTAATGTATGTTCTATCCCCTTCCAACGACTTTTCCTAATTTCCTCTCCAGCTGGAAGCTTGTTTATTCTCTCCCACAGTAGGCTGTTGCTGATGGTATCCGGCCAACTATTTGTAAATACTTATACTTTTTTATGATGGTTGTAGAAGTTCTCCGCCTGTAGCTTTTCTGGAGTTACTGCCGGTTCCGAGACCGAGTAAAGGTGGAGGGCTGGGCATTTAGTCGGAAACCCCACCTCCCAGAGAAAAGTCTTGCTAAAAACGCCAACCAAATTACATAAATTAGACCATTTAAACTGCCTTGGGAGTTGCAAGAAGAATTGTGACGCTTCACGATGAAAGACGAGATCCTTTTGAAGTCACGAGGCCGATGCCCCTTCTGACAACCAGAGCGACAATTTTTATAGGTACATGGTTCCTAATTAGTATAGTCTATTTGTAGTATCGCTTCACAGCATGGAAGATGTGTGAGAACAGCAGTAAAAGTCTTACAGCAAGTTTAAATGACTAATAGACAAACAAGTGCATCACTCTAAAGCCTCACAGAAAATTGCATCGGTCGAAGTTACTATATCTCGGAATGACACAACAAAAGGAAAGATATTTCATGAGATTGTAGCAAAATAACCTTTAAAAATATATCAGTAAGTAACCTGTCATTTGAGCACAGCATAGGATTTCACTCCGTATTGCGTGAAAACTTCATGCATTTTTAGACATATTTCTTTAGTCTTTTGCAATAAACCAATTCCAATATATGCTGATTTGTAACACGATAGTTTTGAGTCACTTTGATATTCTGTATCTAAACTAATTGGCCTTCAAACCAATATAATTTACATATGAAATAACTTTTTACCTGATTGATTTCATGCTGTATGTGAGAAATAATACGGTATTCATTCATCGTAATTTTGCAGTCACTTCATGTTTCTGCGTTCAATCTATAAGTATGTATTATAATTCATTTATTTCCACATACTTTATGTTATTTTCGTAAAATAAAATTTGATAGTGACGTTCTGTATTTTACTTTTGCTAGTTCGTGCTTAAAGTATGCATTAACAATCAAATCTAAATACAAGTGAAGGGATGTGAACTGTCCAGATTAAGCAAAGGTTTAGCATATGTCTCTTCACTTAAAGATATGATTTTCATCCTTCAATTTATTTTGTTTATTTATTTGGACACAAATATTGGTACAAAAGGGCACCGAAAACATATGCACAACATAAGTCACTTGATTTATGTGTGGGCTGTGATACTGCCCGGGTACCCAGACCAAGGCAGGTGGTTTTCTTAGGGAGCCACACCCGGAACCTTCGACATGAAGGTCTGATCCACAAGGTAGTGCAGCAACGTCAGGAGATGCAGTCCCATGGAAGCCGGTGACCAACAACTGGTTCATATGCCATTTGTTCGCTCAGGATCCTGGAGTCCATGTGCACCATTGGTTTGGAATCAGGGTTCTCCAACTCTCCTAGGTGGACACTCTGTGTCCACCAACCTGGTTAAAGCACCAGATATTCACTGTTCGTTCTCTTAATTCCGTAAACAGAACCGCCGTGAGAAGGCAGGGCATTTGGGGGCGAATATAGGTTTTGACGTGGTTGGTAGATGGCTTATTGATGACTTTATTCAAGTAGATTGTAGATTTGGTTTCACAAGAATTCTCAATCGTTTGATTCATTGTGGTATGTTGTTTTACTGCATAAATTGTACTTCAAACTGGGCAATTTTAGTGAATAGTGTTTGTGATCAAACTGAATTGATGGTATAGTGTTGTTCAGGATATATTACAACGTCAGATATAACATAGATGCACTTTTAATGATTTTGATATTTATTTCCTAACGCCCCTTAGTCAAAGTCAATATCACGAATGCTTTTAGACTTATCTACAATATATTACTTGGGCTATGGAACAAGCGGGATACATAATACTGCTAATTAAAAATTCATTGACTTATGATCTATCAACGGTACAAATTTTTGTATAAATGCAGATCATTATTTTTGCATAGATATCGACATAAGTCTACTTCATTTCAGGTTGTAATTCACTCAAACACAAAATTCTTCTGTCTTTATTGATATACTTTTCAATAGTTTGTCAGAATAAATGTTATATAAAAGGAACAATGATTATCATGTACGTATATGAAGATTATATTTGTTTGGTAATATACGAATTTTAAAAAAAGATTATTCAAATAAGTAGAAATAGACCATTATTATTATTATTATCTATTTAACATCACCTAATAGAGCAACTCCTCTTAGAATCCAATGATCTGCATCTACTGCACTACGAAGCATTAAAGGAAATATGTAATTCAAATCGGTACGTTTAGGCTTTTTGTAAACTGGACATGAATAAAATATCCCAGGTTTACTTTTTTCCCCGATTGACTGAGAAAATGCAGATACATGTACTACTGGGAGTGGAGTGTACAATAGTTTTGGTAGCGGTTCCATTAGTCTAGCTTGTTTACGATCCCAACCAGCTCCATCTAAACTAAGACCATGAATGTAAACACCTTCAGTTGGACCTTTAGTTAATTCTTCACGCATTAATTTCGTCACATCGTTTGTTAAGGCTACATCATCTAGGGCATATTTATTTGCTCTGGCCACTTCTTGTCTCATAGCAGTGAGGAAACCCTAAAATAGGATAGTGAATAGTTATAACAATTGGTGATCGTTAAAACGGTTTAAAAAAGTACTGAAAGGTTAATTTATCCATGATGAAGTAACTAAAATTTTTACAATTAGTTTTTTGTTGTATAAAGTTGATTCTTTAATCTACTAAACAAGCACAGAAATTGAAGGAGTTATTTTAGTCACATGAATGCTAAAAATACAATCACTGCATAAATTAGTGGTATTGAAAATGAATGTTGAAGTAGAGACAAAACTAAAAGCGGTCTCAATAGGAGTTTGCCTTCTAGAAGTTTTTTGCTCAAAATTGTCATTTTAACCTACTCTACTGGATCTTATAGTTTAAAAGAACTTTATCTAAAGGGAAATAGTAAAATAAGTTCACAGAAACTACCACTTGTCTGTAGTAAGTGGTTGAATAAACGACTCCTACTCTGTAGTCGTTGAAATTCATTTAAATATGTTTAGTTAGGATCGTAAACGTAGTGGTAGATGGCTAGAGATAGCCTCCAAAACCCTCTGTAGGCATGAAGTATAAAATTTGCTTCTGCAACTCTGGTCTAACAGGTGATTGCACAACTAATCGTTTGATTTTCTCAGCAGAAGTGTATCTGGCGAGTCAAATACTTCAAGAAAGTACACTTACAGTTATTTGGATAGCATTGTTTACTTGTTAATGTTTCTCAGAGTTACCAATTGTGATCTAAAAAACTGAATAGACCAATCGCAAAGGTCTCCATGTGATGTTCGACAATGGGCTATTAGTTTGCATCTAAAGATTATCTCCAAAAGTAAATAAACGTTCCTTCATTAAACTCACTTGGGGATTGAAAAATCCTGTCATCCAATAGCAAATTGGACGACCTTCAAAAAGCCAATTACTAAATTGGGCATTCCTGTCAAGTAAATCCGTGAACCAAAATCCAAGAGTAGCTGATTCCCATGACATCTAGAAAAGGTTGGCAAAACAGTATTTCTTTTGTGATTTCAAATATGATAAAATGGCTTTTATAAATAGGTCATTAAAAACCAGGGACTGGACTTTGTTTTATATAAAGGGGCTCGAATAGTTTAGCACTAACATCCCTCAGTGTGAACCGGATGATCCGAGTTTTAATCCCGCAGGATGCTTCAGTTCCCTCAAGACCAGTCACCCCCTGCCGGGAAGTGCCAACTAACACAAAATTAAATTTGACTGCCTCCAACCACCTAACATGTCAGCATGGTATGCGAGTCACGTAGACTAGTGGGCTCATTGCAACCTGATGGACAAGATTCGTTTGACATTAAAGGATTAGTGCTACACAAGACTAGTCATTACTCAGTGGTCAATTAATTGTTAGCTTAAGCACTCCTGAAAAATCCTATCTTCTATCTGCCTGCTTATGCTGATGTGTTAATGTTTGATGTGCTTGGCATCAATGACCTTATGTGTTTCTCAACTTTTATATTTTCAGTGTGTGCGTATATATAGTGGGAAATACAAAACCATCAAGTCAATGATCCACTGGTTTAAAGATTGAATATTCTGAATTTCCTGAACTCGATATTGTGAAAAATCAATCAAGTTGACTGTTAGGTAGCAATCTTAATTTAAATTGGCCTCGATTGTTCAGAACTAAACAAATTTTCCCCCCTTGCAACCAATTGTCAGATTCGTGTCCATACTTTACATAAATCACAGTTAACTTACTTTTCTCCATGTACTTGGGATACGCGCATCAAATATATTGTCTAATGCATCACGTAAATTTTCTGACATTATAATTGTACCATCAATTGCTAATTTTAAATCACTCAGTGTTGTACGAACATTGGATATAACACGTTGCATACGATCAACTTCTTGTTTTAAAAATATATGAAGCGGTTTTAAATGATCCATTTTAATTAATCGTTCTTTTACCTGGAATTAGGAATAATGATATGAGTATTTATTTTAATTTGAACTAATGAATTCATTTCTAATAAACACGGATAATATGCTACTTTCAAGTGTGAATGAGTTTAGAACATTTTTGTTGTCTGTCAAGAACTACTTTGTACTTGAGAGATTTGTTTTTGTTTGAATTGAAACAAAATGTACGTTAGAGCGAACAATTGTTTCCAATAACTTCATCATCAGCCTCTACAGTTATAATTATAATTATGGACTTATAACTGTAGAGCCTGATGATGAAGTTATTGAAAACAATTGTTCGCTCAAATATTCTTCATTTTTGAATATGGGGATTTTTAAACTGACAAAATGTATGCATCGCTTACGAAGAAATTCCAAGTTGTGACAAGAAAGGGATGAGATTATTGGGATCAAACAATGAGATTATCTAGTAAATAAACCATTTGTTATAAATCAGAGAAAATATATTGAGTTAACTCATTTGTTTTACTTATGTGTTTCAGGAATTATGATTTTTTGTGTTCTTGATAGTTGTAAGTTTATTCAAATAAGTGTTTCACTATTAAGTGGGAAAGCAAACAATATTTATTGATTTTTAAGATAATGGTGAGCCAGTCGTAATATGTATTGTTCACTACTAATTCAGTCAGATTACAATCTGAACATAACAATGGAACGAGGATTAAGTAAGTACCATTCTTGAGTAATATTTATTCAGAAAGGTATATAAATTAACCACACACCTGAATGGTATTAAAAATCTTCGGTTCAAGTATGCTATATTGACGGCCGTAAACTAAGCAATCAGAACTAAGCGTCTCGTATGCTTTCGCACAAATTTCAAAGTGCAGTGCTAGATAGCTTGTATGTTGTGACGATCTAAGTGTATACTAACAACATTAGGTTCTTAAAATGCTTGAAATTAGTAATAACATTTATTATGCAACCAAACAGCGAATACACAGCGCTCAAGTCAGATCACAAGAAACATCTGTTCCTAGTACAGATTGTGTTAAAGTCCTTTTATTCTTTGAACATAACCTGTTTCCTTTTCCACAATGGATAATTTATCATGCAAAAGATTATTTATGGTTGTTTTATAACCAGACAGTGTTTCTTGCTTGGCTGGCAAGTCACTCAAGGTCCTCGGTACAGGGTGCTTTTACCGCATATTCCTAATATAGAATGCAGTTATAATTCCCACAGTATACGAAACTAGATTGTCTTTCAGAAAAAGATTAACTCAACTATTTGAAATACAGCTAAGCATTGATGAAGTTATCAAATACCTGCTTATGGACGGACAAATGCATTCCAACATTACTCACCTCAAATGTATATCACCGGGTTTTTTGCTAACATATACAGGAATCAATTTCATCTAGTGCATATACCAGTGACTATCTGGTTTCAATAGTTAAATGTATAACGCAATTGCATTTGAAACGAGTAGTACT